CATCTGGTGAGATCGAAAAACGAATCTCTTCTTCATGTACTTTCATTCGAAATGAAGGTCCCCCTAACAGTTCTAGTCAGTCTAGATTGCCTAAGAAGATGATGGTCTGATGGTAGACATTTGCCACAATCAGATAAGTAGGTCTCAAGCTTGCACTGAATTTCAGGTAGACTTGACTCCAAAAAGTTATTCCGGACAGCATATGCAAGGAAAAGTTGGGTTTGAGGAATATCTTGTTACATAAATGTTGATTCCGTAACTTTAATTTAGTTGTAAAGATGATACTTTGCTCTGATAAAGTGTGTCATACGACGGACGAAAGCTCAGCATTCTTCCATCGGAATCGAAGGAAGTTACCTCAGAAACAGCGTCAACAAGAATGTTCCAGTAAATGCCACCGACTCGACAAGAGTTTAGACCTCGCCTGTACTGGCCTCATCAGCACCCCAAGCGGGACTCGAACCATGATTGTGCAGCGTATAAGCTCGACACGTTACCCCCTACGGCAGACTGCCACGAGTGCCCCTTGGTCGTGGGGCAGGTGTACATTTCAAAGAAGGCCTGGCCTTTTCTTATATCACATTCTTTTTGGGATTGTCTACGAAACCATGTTATATTTCCTATACTCCAATCGACTATATTACTTATTTCTGATTTTATAAGTAGCATCTTCCAGACTAACTGTAAATTTGATATTAGATCTGTATTCAGCATATTTGGCTAAAAGTGATCAAGCACTGGTAGGCGTATTTTTCCACAGTCATATGAGTAAGCTTCCAATTTGCATTGAATTTCACATGAGAACACCTTCTGAAAGCCAGCAAACGGGATGCCTACTCATATTATGGCGGAAAAATTCAACCATCAGCCCTTGATTACGTTAAACGAAATAGGTCAAATGCAGCTGTCATATAACAATCCAAACTTTAAATAATAGTTCTCTCTTTCTCTTTTCTTGATTTACTACATTGGTGCATTATTCCATAAAGTGTGGATTCTGGCTCGGATGATGCTTGTTAGGGCGGTAAAGGTTGCGGAGAGAAGCTGGGTTTCGAGAATCTCTTACTTCCATTTCAAGTGAAAATGTTTGGTGAAGAGATTCGAAGGTCGATCGGCACAACCAAATTCAAACTAATGAGTCAAGAAAGCTCGTTGATGTTGGTCACATGACGGACGCAAGTTCAGCGCCTTTTCAGCGGAATCGAAGGAGATGGCCTCGGAAACAGCGTCAAGAGGAATCCGCCGTCGTCTTCTGGTGCAATCGACCTTGGAATCTCTTCACCAAACACTTTCGTTCGAAACGGAAGTGAGTCGAAAGCCAACTTCCTCTTTTCAAGGTGCGAAGACCAAGTTGTTGTGGCCTTTGGTGTGGTCGCAGTCTCCTTTCGATGCAGAAAGGTGGGCTGATCTCATCTGCCCAACTGGGTCGTGCTGTCAACACGACTTAGTTGGATGCTCCGTGTCCCAAGTTTTCCGCCTCAGCAGTTATGACCGCAGACTTGATACATCCTCACACATTTCACCAGCACCGAAGTCGGCATCGTCGGTGCATCTTTCCAGTCTCAATAGCAAGCTGCAACGCGTCTTGTCTGTTTGTCTAGTTGCCGCTTGGTGATAAGGATGCCAAAACGCACTGACAATGCCAACGAAATGTCTGCGAAGGTACCAAGTCCACGGTCAGACGCTGTAAAAGCAGACGACTTCGGACAAGAGGCATCCAATTAATTCGCCCTGGCAACAAAAGTAAGGTGCCGAAACTAGGTCAGTCCACTTCCGTCATCTGTCGGTTCGCGAAGAGACCATTTCCTGAATTGCTTCCGACCCTCTTTTACTTCGAAATGGAAAGTTGAGTGACAAGGTGCAAAATTCACTGGGTCTTCATTTTAGCACTATCAGTCCCAGAATGAGAGAGAGAGAGAAAGAGGGAGAAAGAGAGAGAAAGAGAGAGAAAGAGAGAGAGAGAGAGAGAAATATGGAGGATGGCTTGTAGATCGAGATGCGATAAGAGGGCAGACTTCGGCGTGAAGCAGAGTAGGCGTGAGAGCGAGAGTAAGAAGGATGGAACCAACCGCACTAACCGCATGAGGATGGCTGGGGTTGAGATTCGGTTGACCCGCCACGGTGACGGCCAATGTCATTGCCACGGCAACTGATACGGCAACTGGCGCCACGGCGTCTTTTGGCGTCTGGACGACCAATTTCCTGTCCGTTGGGCCGGCGGGTTCTGGTCTGTCCGGTTGCCCGGTCTCGTCGGTCACGTCGATCGAGTCGATTGCGTCGATTGCGTCGCTCGCGTCGCTCGCGTCGTGACGTCGAGGCCTGTTGAGCGTTGTGTCGCTGTCGGACGACGAGGACTGCCTGGCGACGTCTGGCATCAAGACTGGTCCCGTCGTCGAGCGACAGCTTCAGACGAGCCACGCGATTGACCGACAAGCGCTACCAAAAAGCGCCCTCTCTAGCCGTGGCATGACACACAACTATACACACACACACACACAGCGCAGCCACACTTAGTCGCACAGACGGGGTCGAGACGGCTTATCAATCCCAGTACTCCTCGATGGCCTCGGCCCTGGAAGGGTTAAGAGCGTCCGGTACCGGCGGCGAGGCGCGGAGGGTCGGTCGGTTTCGGTTTGCCAAGTCGAGCGGCCACAGGCTTGCACTGACTGGCACTGCGCGAAGACGACCAGCTCCGATTGATCTCAATTACTCATTACAGCCGCGAGGTTCGTTCACGAGTGATTGTAGCGGCCACAGGCGTCGAGCCAAGGCCACCCAACGGTGGTGGTGGCAGTCTCTATTCCTCTCTTTTTCTCTTTCTCTCTCACACACACTCTCACTCTCCCTCTCTTTCCAATTCGCACTCACCTGGTCGCCCAATCAGCGCCCATCTACTCATCAGTTCACCCTTTCACAATTCGAGGACATCACATCGGTCAGATCGTGTGTGCCTGTGTGATGTGCCTGTAGGTGTGTATTGGTGTATGTCTGTGTTAGCTCTCCTCATTTCCTCCTCCGCCTACATCCGCACCGGGCTTTCTTGTAACACAGGCCTATCTGGTCGGTATCTTGTGTGTGTGCATTGGTATGTGTGTGCGCTCGAATGTTGTGCTCCAGTTAGCGCCACAAGAAGCATTTCAGTCGTCCAGTCATCGGGCGCCGCGAGCATGTACAAATGTTGTCGTGTTGCCTTGTCAGTGGACTCAGGTGGCCTGTCAGGCCTGCGATTGGCTCGTTTTGACATCGCTATGCCAGTGTGCATGTGTGTGTGTGTACGTGAAGACTGTGAACACACTCGCAGACACTGTTGTGGATGGTCGGGGACACCGAGACGAAGCCGACTTGCGAAAAAACAGACATACGATTTTTACTGGCGTACCTTGCATTTCGTTTGAAAAGGCGGACCGAAGGGATTGATAGATTGGCCCCACCGGATACCGCAGGAGGGTTGCGTTTGTCTGTTGAATTGGGCGAAGACGAGCTCGGCTCACCGTCTTGCCACGCCG